TTTGTTAAAAGTAGGCAAAGGGTGGATTTGACTGAAACCCCAAAAACAATACATGATGAGAGCAATTACAAAGTCACCGCACCCTAACACGTACCCTGATATATCGTTAGTTTTGCTTTAAATATGACTATAACTTGAAAATGATCGTGAGGTTGTGCTCCTTGAGACTTTAAACTAGCAATTAAAACTTTACAGAGGAAATAAATCAAGTGAAAATCAGGCTCATTTCTCAGAACCTTTTATACAATCGGACTTCCTTTCAAAATCAGTGAAGTCGCCACCTGCTGGCTTTCAGAAAGAATGCATGTTTAATGCACATGTTTGACTACATCAGTTTTTTTATGCAGTGTAAAACCATTAAAATTGTAAATTAACATGATGCAAAAAGCCTTAACACAAGCAACTGTCAGTCTTATATGCATAAGATGTTTAGAATTTAAACATGCTGAACAACAAATCAAAGCACATTTTCTCTGTTTTTCTTGTATTTGCACTCTTTCTGTGGGCGGGAGGGATAGCAAGTCAAGTTATTTTTAGTCCTTGACACAACCAAAAATAGCTGACCACCCACTTAAAAATAATATCCAGTGGCTTTTATCCTGTAATAACTTTACAGGGAAGTGTATCTTAGCTTCCAGGAATGTTGTTTTAATTATAGAAATCTAATGAGCATAATTCTACTCTGTGCATAATCTTCACCCATTTTCAAGTCCACACTTTCCACATCCACATCTCTTAAAGACTTTCGGTTTTTATTCCTGGTCATTAAGTCTTGTTGCAGCTTTAAAAGGACTCTAAGCCACAGGATTTAAGTTACATTCAAATTACTAAGCTTTACAGCCACTCTGCCGCAGGCATTAAATGTACACATATGTTCACTCTATATGTTAAAGGAAACAGCTGTGCCCAGTTTATTTTGCATGCCCACCCAGATTCTAGACATCATCTTCAACGAGCAATACTTTGTTCTTTTTCCATTCGCCTTCCAGTCTGGTTTTCCTACAGGACTGGGTCACATCGGGTTCCCACTCTGCATGTGGGCCCTCAGAGCTGCCTGCTGAGCTTCTGAGCTTGCCTTTCTTTTGCATTGAAGGCATATTTTGTGTCCTGTAGCTGTTCTATAATCTCCTTGGCTTCCTTCATCTCCACAGCGAGCTGGTTGTACTTCTCCACCAGCTCCTGGTTCTCTCGCCGGAGCTCCACCACCAGCTGGCTCAGCTCCTCGCTCTGCCTTCCGCAGTGCGTTTTCAGCTGCTCCATCTCCGACAGCGTCTCCTCCATACGCTTCACCAGGCTCTCCAGCTTGTCCTTGGACATCTCTGATGGTTATTTATTCACCTTTACGGGCTTTTCTGCTCTTTTTGTCCAAGCTTCGTGTCCTCTCTCCCGTGCCGCTGAGTGTCTGCGCTTGTTGTCTGCGCAGAGCGATTAACGAAGCCTAATCCTCAATTCCTTGCATGTCTCACATGCAGAAGACGTCCCTCCCTGCACGATAATCTCCTTATTAGCACTATCCTGGGAAACCTCTTACGTGCACAGGTGTGATACACAGCCACAAAGTCTCCTGGCTAAATCGACTCCCATTAGAGGATGACAGTGATTGGCAGATTACCTCAGTTCACTCTGTGGTCTCACATGCCCAGTAAAGGAGCTTAAACAGCCACAGCCACAGAGGGATGTGGAAAGTTATAGCTTTCATGTGAAGTGTTAAGTCTTACTTGCTGGCTTACCATTAGTATTAACCAATATGAATGTGTCCTATGTATGAATCTATATTAATTAAAAGTACCTGCCTGTAGTGTAGGTCCCCCTGACCCCTGTTTCAGATGCTCAGTTGTATTGAGCTCTTAGATAGACGGTAGAGATTAAAGTAACATCATTATGAGTACCAGGACACAGTGTGTCCAAGCAGAACATTACCCAGCATCATACTACCTCCACCTGATAGCTTTCTTCTCATAGATCCTGCCTCCTTCTCTTTCCCAGGTAAACTTGAACGCACCACAGTGGGTTTCATCCACGTTCCATTGCTCTGTGCTCCACTCTGACTGGTCTATGAGATGCACTCTGTTTCTGTTACTTCTTTTTCTATTGTGCAGACATCATCTGCAGACATCACCAGACACACTGATGAGTCTTCGCTGCCTATGACCCTGTCACCAGTTCACCGGTTGTCCTTTCTTTGACCACGTTTGGTACACACTAATCACTGGATGCTGGAAAAACCTGGTAATATCTGCCATCTTGGTGATGCTCTGACCCAGCTGTCCAGTCATGACAGTCTCAGTCTCGTTAATGACTGTTCATCTGCAGAGTTACATCTCACAACTTTTCCAGGTGACATTGTAAAAAGATAATCAGTGTTATTCACTTCACTTGTCAGTGGTTTAAATACTGACAGGTACTATGGATGCCCTTCATAGTGTAAACGTCTATGAGGGGATTTACTGCACTTTTCCAGCAAATACTTGCACATCCATAAAGTCTAATTTTTGTGCATTTTCACTTTTAATATTTGCAGTGTCTATATCTATGTCAGTGCAGCACATGAGACTTGCGTGTCTTTCATTGAAGGGAGAAAGCTAAAATAAGTTTGAATCTTTTTCCCCCTTGGTGAGAAGCCCAAAAGAGCTTCAAGTGCAGGGTATAACTTAATCTGAACAGAGCAGGTTTCTGGAATCAGTGCAAGGAAAGCATAATGGAATTAACTCGTAGGTGTTCACCGGTCGAGCTGCAGGATTTGCATGCCAGGAGGAGGCCTCACTGAGGGCTTGTTAGGTAAGTCACAGTATGAGGCTAAATATTCTGGGTAAACTGCCATACTGCCACATACTGTAAACTGCCACTGTCCCAGCCAGCGAGGCCAAACAATCCCCATGGTGACAGCAAAAGCGGCCAGTGCCCCAGGCTACATGCCAACTGCGTCTGCCAGCCAGCTGGCATCAGGGGATGCTGAGTGCGGGATGCCAGTTTACCAGCACGCCGAGGAATTTCCACAATGTTCCCACCGACCCGTGTAGTTCTGCGACAATCTCATGAGGGATTGCTCACTGAAAATCAAAAAAGGCTAAAGTGTTTTTCAACTATTTGAAGGTTGATGTTGATCCTGACCTTTGTGGGGTGCGGAAATGAAAAAGAGAACAATCTAGTTTATAGCTTTTGTGCTGAAATGACTAAATATCCTGTTTTGTTTCTATCTCGATTCATCTGCTTAACTAAATATTTGATCCAAGTGCCTGAAGAAGTCACTTGGATGAGTGACAAAATGTTTCTCCCACTGAAAACGCTCCAGATGAACAGAATCAAGATACAGAGACATTAATTCACAATTCTGTTAATTTAGGGCAGCTGTGGTGTAAACCATACATTTGGTGGTGGCCCGATGCATTAGCTATGAACTGTAAGTAGCAGAAAGAGCAAAGACTTCCAGGACTATAACTGTGGTCCCACCGTTTGTACAGGTTGAGAATGGATATAGAAGCAGATGTCTGATAAGAAACTGCAGCAACAATAAAACAAAAAAGGCTTTTTCAATTTTATTGTTCATTTTTTTATTAAAAAAAAAAAAAGAACAAAATTTGAATTGGAGGAACCTTGCATAACACACATAAGCATGTGAAGGACAAAAAAAAAAAAAAGCCAGTTACCCAGGTCATTCCCAAAAACCAAAAGGGGGGAAAAAAACGGTCTGTTTAAAATGTCACCTCTTGAATTCTTCTCTTTGCAAGCATGAGCCTCTAGTGGAATAACAGAACTGCTGGTCACCCTCCAAAGTAATGTGCAGGCTTTTTGTTCTTACACATATCATATCGCTTTTTTAAATTTTTGAATGAAAGTATTTGGTTTTAATCCGACTAAAGCAGTCTGCTTCATAAGTGGAGATTAAGTTGTTTGCAAATTGAGGTGTCAAATTGAAATAGATGCACTCGTTCACTTATCAGGTTTTGACGCTTGTCACTGTTTTCACACGCTCGCAGGTTTTAATAAACTGGCAGGAATCCAGTGAATACAGTCATGTCTCTAAAAGTACTGTTTCTTTTCTGCATATGTTGGAAAAAAAAAAAACCCAAAACAAAACATAACTGTATCTGCTTGTAAGTAAAATCATTTCAGTATCGATGTAGCATAGTTCCAAAAAGCACCAGGCGAGCATCATGAGGGCAGCTATAGCCTAAAGGTTCAGAGTTTGTGACCATATGATCACAGGTTACAATCCCAATCGACAGGTTGGAAAACAAAAATAAAAATAAAGACAAGGGAAAAAGAAAGAAAAGGATGTTTCTGGCCTACAACAACAACTACTTAAATGCCCTTGAGCAAGGCACTGAACCACCGGCTGCTCCAGCAGAGCTCCTCAGTGGCAGACAAGTCTCAGGTGTGAGAGTGTCACTGTAGTGCTCTTTCCTCCCTCTACGAGCTGCGAATTCAAATCTGATTCCATTTAAAACTGGGGGCAGAAAACTTGGTGAAATTATGTAATGGGTGCCACAATAACACTTATTATTCAGTCCAAGAGAGAAAAGTCTCTACTATTCACATAAGGAAGAGCCTCACATGATCAAAGCATCCATTTCAGCGTACATCAATGTAAATCACACCTGCTTCAGACTTCTGCGTGTCTAAAGTGATTTTTTTTTAACCATTCTTAGCAGTGAGAAAAGCACACTCCGGTGACTGATATCTTATACACAATCAAACTACACATTTCTATCTATTATCACTATCATCACTGAGTGTCCATTCGTTTGATGAAGGCTTGGTAATCTTCGGTTTAGTTCGGGGCCAGTGGTAGCTCTGCAGTAATGCAAACAGATGTGACAGGAAGGTTGTTCAAAGTCTTTAAAGGAAGATTTCATGAACACGTCTCCCTTTGCTCAACAGCTACCGCTAAGGTGTCCCTGAGGAAGGCACCTGCTGTAAAGCCACAGCTGTAGAAGACTGCGGTTGGACTGGGCTTCTCCCAGTTTTGAGTGTGTGTGTGTGTGTGTGTGTGTGTGTGTGTGTGTGTGTGGGGGGGGGTCTGTGTGTATGCAAAAAAAAGAAAAAAAATGGGCACTGCTGAGAAAGGAGCGGATGAGCTCTTGTAAAGCTTCCCTGGATAAATAAAAGTAAAAGCTTCCCACTGGGTTTGGACTGCGCCTGAAGCTGTTGATCAGCGAACGAACTGAAGATGAGATCCCAAGCCGAGCGAGAAGCGTCGCTTCTTGGTTTAACACAGAAATACAAAGGTTTAAGAACAGCTGTTGTGGAGAATACGCTCCTTCGGTGCCAGAAAAAAAGGCAGAGAAAAAACAACTTGTGTCCCAGCATCATGAGCTCTTAGGAGGGGATGTGGGGGCGGGAGGGGCCCCAGCATCGCTCTTTGTTCCCCGGCTGTGAAGGAGCTGCTCTCATGTTGTTGGCCGGAGAGCTATGTGGGTGAGGGTTATCAGGGCAGCGTCCTGCTAAATGTAGAACTGGTGTAGCGCCAGCTTGTCCATGAAGGGCCGTACCAAGTTATCTGTGGCGAAATAGAAGACGAGGCCGAAAAAAATGGAGATGGGCAGAGCGGGGAGTGCTTTCTTGAAGATGGCGAGGAGGAGCAGAGTCAGACATAAGCCCTGCGGGGGCAGAGACAGACAAAATAAAACACTTTGGAAATAGCACACTGAGTAATTGTATACCAAACAAAATCAGCGCTGAAGGAGGCAAAAAATTGCTTATTATGTAATCAAGAGGTTTACATAAAAGGGGGTGGGTACTGTGCACCGAGAGAGGGTTGAAACTGCGGTGAGTCGAGTTTGATACCAAAATAAACAGCTGATCACTCACAATGAGGATGGCTACGAAGCAGGCGAGGGTGGTGTTCCAGTCGCCGCTGGCCGTGGCTGAGGCTTTTCCCACCAGCATGCTGTAGAAGATGAAGTCTCCGAGTCCCAGCTTGACACCCCCTGAGGAGGCAGAGGGACGCCACATTCAGGGTGGAGTCAATTCAAACAAGTTTTGCTTCAGCCACACACCCTATAACCCTTACAGAAACCTTTCCTTGTGTGTAATTACTGTACAAACAAGATCGCTCACCCCATATTTACTGAAGCTTTAAGTTAAAACGAGCACTGGCCTCAATATAGCACAGAGATGAACACTAGCAATTTCCTTGAATAATCGCTTCCTAATTTTCTCAGTCCCAAAATACTTCCATTCACACATGCCCTCAATTTCACAGAAAAGGGAATACTTAAAAACATTCCTAAAATGTTTAATGTCTGAGTAGAAGAGGGAAGTGAAAGCTGATGATTACACGCTGAGAAGAAGAAAGCAGACAATGTGAGAATTCACAGGTTTGAATTACCAAACCCGGCTTTTCAATTTTTTACACTTTTAAAATCTAAAAATGACCCTGACGGGTTTTGTTTTTACTTAATAGCTCATCTGGATGATTTAAAGTATGATGCTCAACTCTATGGAGCACGACAAAATATTTTATGTTTCAGCAGGCAGCTGTTTTCAGAAAACGCAGGTAGGATCTTTGCCCATTTTAAGTAATACTTGTAGAATAGAGTGGAATAATTCACCGCTGCAAAGCCACATAGTTGCAGGGAATACTGGGCTTAAATCTGCAATCCTGCATGGACGCCAACGTTAGTAAATATACTTGTTCCATTACTTAACATTCTGTTTATGCTTCCATCTGCCCTGTGTACTTAGTACTACATAAGATCCAGCAGTAACCACACATTAGTCGGCCATAATGTTCAATATTGTTTCACCACTTACTCTCCTCATCGTCCTCTTCAACAGGAGGACGCGCTGAGGGCATCTGCTGGATTTCCCGTCTGGTCTCCTCGGTGGACTGGAGCGGCCCCAGTCGATGCTCCTGCTGGCTGACCCAGGACTGGTTGAAACCTCCATCATCCTGTGACGGACTCGATGGGACCGGAGATGCCACTGGTGCTGAAAAAAAGATACCAGTCAGGTTTGAAAAGTAACCGTCGAGTAGGGCTGTGCGATATGACCAAAATCTCATATCCCGATATAAAACATCTATCGTCCAATAACGATATAAGTCACAAAATTTTAACATTGTCTGTAAATTCTGTGAATCTCGGGCAGCTCGATTTGCGTGAAGTGTTTCCAGCTAGGCGTCTTGTACCTGAAGTCGAGTGTTTTAACAGATGCATGAAACTATACATTTTTAGACATAAGATGTAACGGCCGCCGTTTTCTTTGTATTTATTACACAGTGTGCTGCGGGGAAAAGCCTGTTCTAACGTTTGAGTCAAAGGTTTATTTTTTATCACCTGACGGCTCTTTTTTGCTTCTCATCCGTAAATACTCTGCACACTCTTTCACGTGATTCAGTTTATTTTGAAAAGTCTCAACAGGATCTTGAGCTTTATTGTGAAAGGTTTATGTGGAAAATAAACAAGCGGACTCGATGGTTTGACCGCCGTTGTTGCTAATGACACCGCATAAAAACAGTCGCTTGTCCGTCCGTAGTGTGGTTATATTAAATATAAGAGAAAGAGAGAACTTTAAGAAATGAATATAGCCACTACAGTGACCATCAAAACGGTGAAAAAATATTGCCGTAAACAGTTTATTTTGCGACACCACGAAACAAACGATAGCGTAAAATGAAATGATAGACGTTTTTATATCGTCATCCGATATATATCGTTTTATCGTACAGCCCTACCGTCGAGCACCAAAGTCAAGCGCAGTCCATCTCTTTGAGTTGTTAGTTACCTTCTTGAGGCTCTTGTTGAGGCGAAGCTGCTTCTGTCGAGTTCCTATTTGGCCTGTCTGTGTCCGCCATGTTGACGAGCCACACCATCGTAGCTGGAGAAGAAGGTTTGGGAGATCGGTTTGTGTTAAGAGCCTTTAAAAGGTAAATATAAGTTAGCAACAGCTGAAGCTAGAGTGCTACAAACACATCTTAAAATGAGCTGAAAAAAACAAAACAAAACAAAAAAACAAGCACTATATGAAGTTGAAGTGTCCATTAAAGGAAACACCATCTGTTTAAGGGAAGGCAGACATTCTAAAACAAAGCTTAAATTTAAGATTATTTGAACTATTGAAAGCAGAAGAAGTTTCATTAGAAATAACTGTGCTGAAGGTAGCTGAAGTTTCTGATGATATTTAAAAACATTTGAGTGTTTGAATGGAGGTGATTGGTTAAGGTCTCACTGTTTAAAGCAGGATGTGTGATACTGACTATACACAATTAGGTCCTTAACGTGTACATCAGCGGTCCCCAACCCCCGGGCCTCGGGTCCGTGAGTCGTTTGGTACCGGGCCATGAGAGTAGAGGCTCAGGTGTGAAATGTATGGTTTTCAGGGTTTTTATCGGTTTTCAGCGTCATTTTGTTATCGTTTTTATCATTAACTCGGTTTTCCTGGGTCTTTTCACGTGTGTTATGAATAAATCTTCTTTGTTTCGGTACCGGTACTAGTTTTATTTTGTTGTATTTATCCGCGACACCTTAAAGGCCGGTCCGTGAAAATATTGTCGGGCATAAACTGCTCCGTGGCGCAAAAAAGGTTGGAGACCGCTGGTGTACATGTTTTTGTAGTTTTGCCTCCGTAAAACCACCACAGAGAATTTTAAACCAAAAAACAATCGAGATGTGACTGAAGTGCAGACTTTCAGATTTATTTCAAGGACTTTAACGCAAGTTGTATTAACCATGTAAGTTGCAGCCAATTTTATACAGTCCTACATTTTCTGAGGCTCAAATTAAACTGACATAATGTAAAATATAATGATTGTTTTTACTAACTGGAGGAAAATCATTTGCAGTTAATGACGCCGTGATATTTAGAATCAACGGACATTATTAAATGTTGGCCTTTGCTATAGCTACCTTCAATGCTGCATGTGTGTGGGTCTTTCTGCTCTCCGTTTAATCTGCAGTAAATGAAAAGTAAGCTCTGCTAGTTCTTAGATCTCGCTGAATCAGAGCAGCTACTACAGCCCTGTACACTTCACATTCATCCTATTACTTCTATCAGCAGTCGCATCATCATTAAACACTAGTGACCCGATTGTCAGCCAGACATGGCCATGGCATAAAACCACCTCCACCATGTCTGACGGATGATGTGGTTTTCTTTGGCAGATGATCAATTTGTGTTCTTCTCCATACTTTTCTCTTTCAATCATTTTGTTACAAGTTAGTCTTCGTTTTGTTTATCCAAAGATTTTTTTCCAGAACTGGGACTCTGGGAGAGTCTAATCTGGTCGTTTTGTTCTTGAGCGTAAACAGTGTTTTGTACATTGTTGTAAACCCTCTGTATTTCCGGTTATGAAGGCGTCCCCTGATTGTAGACCTTAACAAATGTGCCGAGCTCCTGATGAATGTTCTTCAGGCAGACGTTGCAAAGTTGTTTTCTTAGTGATGAAATTAATTATATTACCGTGCTATTTAAGCTATAAATTACAAATTTACCTCTTTAAATCAATTTTAGGCATTATGTCTGCTTAATTTGTCATGAAATAACAAGAGATGAATTCTCTCCTGTCATTTAAAAGTCCAATTAATTTTGAGCCACTGAAGAAAGGGGACTGTGTATAAAAATACCTGTAATTCCTAAGTTCTTGATGTAATATGCTTTTAAAACCCCTTAAATATCAGCAAAAATCTGCACTTTAAAAACATTACGATTGTTTGAAATTAAATCCACTGTGGTGGTGGTGGTGGTGGTGGTGGTGTACAGGTCCAAAGCTACAAAAACTGTGTTTGTTCAGCAAGTCATGGATTTAACTGTAACACAACGGAAACACTGGAAACATTACATTTAGAGTAGAATTGGTATTTCTTAATCTACATATGAAATCATTTAAAATGCTAAAAATGAAATTAAATCACTTACAGAAGAGGAAAGAGTTTAAGTATGAGAAGAAAAATAACATTTTAAGTAAAGGTACTGAGGATTTCATTTGCCCATCTTTGTTTTAATGCAATAAAATGTTACTAAATGTAGTGGTGTAGGCCTGCGGACATTGTCCATCTTACAAGAATAGATGAGAGCTGGAAAGATGGGCTCATTTCTCTCTTGAGCAGTCTCCACCAGGATCCTCAGAGGCCCTTTGGGACAGAGCACTGCCAACAGATCTGCAAGAGAAAAGACGACAGAGGCCAGAAAAAGGATGTTAGCTACTGAACAGAGGGTTCTTTAAGAGGCCAAATGACCTGATGTGATATCTTCTATGAACAAGGGGCAGGAGCTTAAGTTAACATGCACAGTTTCTGGCAGTCCCAAATCTCTAAAGGGTTTATTTCCTAGTTTATTGAAAGTTTATTGATTTAAGCCTGGAACACTAACTCAAAAATTCCTCTGTGACTGACTCCTAATCTATCTATGTGTTTCTTGTTGCCACCACTGATTTGACAGTTTGAGCATCTGTGTGTGCTCTCTGGATATCAGGTTTGGCTTTTAGCCCTTCTGCCCCCACATTTCCATTCCTCACAGACTTTTCACCCCATTTTCAAGTACTTTTGTAAACGTTTTAGCTCTTGAGAAACATTCTTCCCTCTAGCAATGAGTTATTTCGACACTTGCATACATACCACTGCAGAGAGAAAAATTTTTCCTATAAGTAAGAATACATTTGCACAGCGGTGTTTAGTTAAAGGTGTAACGGATTGGTCAAGATTAGGTTTTATTTCAGAGTTTATTCATTTATCAAAAATATAGAAAAGGCTCAATTGCTTAAAAAGTTTTTGTTTAAAAATCAAAAGTTTATATATCTTAAAAGTGACATTTTAAAGTTTAGCTTTTTTTTCCCCCTTCATGCTTTTATCCAGCGCAACCGCTAAAAGAAACCAGATGACTGGGCATTAGCACACAAAAACATCTTCAAAGGTTTGATGAAGACTTTAAAGAACACAGAGGTCAAAAAGCAGCGTGCGAGACTTACCGTAGACAGATATGACAGCTAATATGAGCCAGGCAGTCCACTCTGGCAGGTACTTGATGAAAACCAGGGCCATCAGGGCGCTGATCATGATGAGGTAGGCCTGCTGGAGCCGCAGAGGTCCCTTCCAATGAATACACATCATCCCCACCACTCCGAAATTCCAGATTATTATCGCTAGGGTTACGTAGTCCATGGCCAGATTGTAGGTCTTAAAAACCTCTCTGTTTGGACAGAGTGAAAGCATAATGAATTAAACTGCTTGACACTTTGAAATGTTTGTAACAACTGCATTAAAAGTTAAGTTGTGTGGCTTACTTGAGGTAGATGTAGGAGAAGAAGAAGAGCAGGAGGAGAGAGGAAAGGAAGAGCCAGCCTTGGATCACCTGTGAGAACAAAAATCCGCATTATTTACAGAATATTTCACCGAATCTGTGCTTGTAAGACTCTGTATCTAGAATTTGATTTAAACTACAATATTTGACCCAAAAGGAGTCGCCTTTGGGTCTTTAATGAAAATTTGAGTCTCTTTAATCTCTCCTCCTGAAACATTTTTACTTCAGGGTATGACCAAAATATGTGATTATGGTCACTAATATGTGGCTCACATTTTCTCCAACACTCATTCAACTCAATTTCTGCTACCATTTCTTCCACCCTAAAAATCTCATGTAATGGGAGTTGGTTCTCTGATGTACTCCAGTCCATGTTCTTACCACTTATCCTGTAGTATAGCTGCATTTGCTTTGCCAGCAGAAGGTTTGTGGGTGGGGCTTCTGTGGTTACAGAGCGGTGTTCATGAGATGACCGTATGAGAGATGTTGTATTATTGCCATCACATACAGCCCAAGAATAGCAAAAATTGATCTGTGTTTGCAGCAGTCTGAAGCCTGTGCTTTTAGCTCAGACGGTTTACTTTTATATATGTTGCAAAGCCATGTTTAATACAAGGTAGACCACAGGAAACACAATGGACAAGCAGAAAACAGCATCAATGAGAGCTGTATTTGTATTTGTGATCACTCCATGATTAAATTGCTATATATTTCATCACACTTAATCCCTGTATTTTTTATTTTAGTCTCCAACTCAATGTGTAAATGTATCCATCATGCTGTGCATTCTAGCAATGGAAAGGGAAAACAATGGTGTCTGTTTCTTATAACTACTCTCTGCTAATTCAACAAAAATTATGAATGCAAAAGTCAAGTATTGATTAAAAACTAAACCTTTCAATAATAATGAAGGAGCTTTGATAAAGGAAGCAGTGATTTCGAGCCACACCTTACCAACTTTATTTTGTTTCTAACACAGTCACAGTTCCTGAAATCATATTTCTACAACTTGACTGGGGATCTACACCAACTGACAGACAACTTAAAACATGTTTTGTGTTTGGCGCTTTTCCACAGGAGATTTCTGTATTTGTTTTTTTTTTGTTTTTTTATCTAAGCCGTACAGCTAAATAACAAATTATCACGAACACTATGTTCCTAGTGAAACTATGTCTTTCCAACTTTAACAAGTTTAAACACATCCTGTAACAAAGGTTTGAAAGATTAAGTGTTTTTACACTCTAGGGTGCAGCTAATAAGACTATATACGTGGTGCAGCAAGATGTTAGAGGTGTTAATCTGTACCTTGTAGCAGCGGTACTTGTATAACATCACCAGCACCAAAGTCATAACGATGATTACAGTGATCATGATGGTGGCATTCAGAATGGAGTTGAGGGCTCTCTGTCCTACTGTGTCTGTGTCTTCAGGGAATGGTGTGTAGATCCTGAAGTGACAGATTAAACACACACACACACACACAGTACAGTTACAGTTTTGGAGCAGATGATTCAGGGGCATTAAAGTCTTCAGAAAAACTAAAGATATGTAAGATTATCTTTCTGTGGTTTGAGCCAAATTCAGGCTCTCTATAAAGATCTTAAGCATTAACAAAGCTACACGTATTACTGTCTACATGCCCAAAGGATGGACACAAGCACATTACATTATCTATACCTAGTGGCAGTTCTCCTGACCTGCACTGCATGTCATTCAAACAGAGGCTCTAATGTGAGCCTTGGATCATCTCATTTCCCTATTACAATCAGTGTGAAATGGGTCACAGCACTTACAATCTCTGCCCGTCATTCTGGGTGTAGAAGCTGACAGATTTTATGGTTGCCACGACGACCACCATGCAAAGCGTCACTGGGACAAAAAGCATGATGACATGCTTGGCCCCGTATTTCAAAGTCAGCTCCTCCTCATCCTCCTCCTCTCTTTCCACCACTCTTGGAGCGGGAGCAGCGGGGGGCTGCCCATTCTGCTCCGGGCTGGTGCCATTGCCACCTCCTCCACCGCCACTATCACCTCCTCCTCCAGTTCCAGCTCCAGCACCAGCTGCTGAACCTCCTCTGGACCGCGCTCTGGGCACACCAGTTTCTTGTGGTTTCTGGGTGGAATCTGGGGATCTGTTAGCCTCCTGTTGGTTCTGCTGATGCAGGAAAAGAGCCATATTTGAAATGTGTGAAAAACAAACAAACAAACAACCACACACACACACACACACACAGTTATGCCTCCCGTTACTAAATAAAATTCCCTCAGACAGTTTTATCAGCCCCTACCTACTATGATAGAGTTAAAAAATGTATCTTACACATAAATAATGAAATCTCTGAACTAAGATTTTGCCACACAAATGTCTAGTGGTGTACACATTTGCCTAACAAATGAAAGATCCCCAGATCAATCACAGGAGGAGACACAAATCCCTTTAGGGTTGTGCCAGGAACGCTGTGGTGACCACCTTATGATTACAGAAGCAGCCAAAAGTAGTTTCTTCTTTATATTGGCAAATTAAATGTTTTCATTTAGCCACTTTATTTGCTTAAATTGAAAACAAATGCACACCAAAATGTGAAAGATTAAAACTAAATGTTATCAGATGATCCATATGTGCACTTGACTGGCTCACCGCCTCTCTTGCTCCAAGGATAACAGCAGCGTGCTTGTTCCCACTCACCCTGAGGATCTGTCCCGTCAGGACAAAATAAGGACGCAACTCAAGGAGACTGTGTGAACTAAAACTGTCAGGCTGCCAGACGAGTCGAGACATGCGGCAGCCTAGACATGAAGCAATTGTACCAGGTACACAGAAATGAAGACAGGAGGCGTCTCCAGAGATCTGAGTAGTGAAAGCTGCCAGAGCTTTTAAACAGGCTGCTGTGCAAAAATGACCTCGCTGTGTGGTATGCTGCTTTGTGTCTCAGTCCTGGGAATTAGGCCAATATTGGTCCCAAGGACAAAAGAGATACAGACTGCTTTTCTGAATAAATTAACCAGGTATGTAGTGATACTGTAACAGCACGCCCTTCCTAGCCAGACTTGTCACTCTGACAAATCTGGCTGGAAGACAGAAACAAAGTGTTCCCTTAGCTGAAATATAGATGCAGTGTATGAGTTCAACTGTTGTAAAGCACAAGGCTAAGCACTGTTAAGTGCACTATGACAGTAAAAAGGGACTTTGACTTATTCACTCCACGAAGGAGGAAATGCCTTTGTTTACAGTAACAGCAAACTTCAGAGCACAAAGCCAACTTGTTCCTAAAGCTTCTATGTATGATTTAAAGGTTAATGGTTGTGCTGTCAGTGGAAACACACTGCTCCTTATCAGAATATAATCACCCTGTCCTGGACAATTTACTGTAACAGAGACCAAATTAAATGATTCAATTAAAACTACTCAACAGCACATGACGTTACAAAATGACTACGAAACTTTACTTCCCTCTTACTGAGACTCTTGTGTGGCAATCATTAATCATTACATTAAAATAGACGGATATAGCATTAGAGCCACTGTGAAACTTTATTTCATACTGACCATATTGTTTTCGATATCCTCTGCATTGTTCGCCATTGTTGGCTCGGTGGACTCTTGTCCTTACATGCAAACCGGAACTTTTCAACCCTGATGAAAGAGAAATGGGTCAATAGAACATATAACCACCAACACAGGAATAAATCAAGCGTGTAAAGACAGAGAGAGTCATGTTTTGTGCAGATTATAAACTAGATTAGGCAAATTTGTTATGTGAAATGAAAGGGACAGTGACAAAAGTAAATTAATCAGAAAACATGTTAAATATCAGTGAATATCAGAGTTCCATTGCGTGTGCATGTTGTTACAAAACACAAGACCAATATGGGTGTCGGATAGCTCACAGCATGAACATGCAACCATATGCCGCAGCGGCCCAGGTTTGATTCAGATCCACAGCCCTTTGCTGCTCATCTTAACTACTTTCCTGTCTACTGGCCACTGTAAAAATGTTAAAAGCCAACCTAAAAATGCATGTTAAAAAACCTAAGACCCATATAAAATACTAAAGTTGCACTAATTAAGTGGTAGGAATTTACTTAGTGGTGGAATTCAGTGTTTCGCAGAGTTGGAAATCATTTTAAAAGACAATTTCACACTTTTTTTAAAAAATACATTCTTCTCATATTTTAAACAGTTCCAGTTATTTCTCAAAAATATTACCTGTGAAATCGTTTCGAAGACTTATCAGTCATTCCATTTTAATTAAAACATTTTAAATACTAGGATAAACTTAAATATCAGGCTTAAATAACAACCTTGATTGTGCTGAATTATGTCGATGTGTCTATCTTTCCACAGAGAGGCCTTTCTTATTGTAAAATAAGGAGGAAATAGATTTTGATAAGACTTCAGTTTTAAGAGATAACAACACGATATGTCAAGGTAACATTTGAGCCACAAATTAGCCTTGGTCGAACTTCAATCAATCAATATATACAAAATGTGTGTGTATGTACACACACATTTTGGGGGGAGGAGATCAGACAAGGGCAGTGTTCACTTCACAGCCATTGTATACAAGAAGAATGATTACGCTGATTAGTAACTCTTCTTGTGTATACAGAGACTCGTGAGAATTGTATTTGAACCTGTACTTGAAGACTTGAAGATATCTTTGAAGGCCATAAAAATAAAAATAAAACATCTATGGGAATGTAACGTTCACGCTGCTGATTACACGCCGGGAAATCCAAAATCTGTATTATTTGATCCCTTCTTCTTGCTGACTTTACATGCCTATCAGAGAGAAACCAGTAAGCTGTAACATTGATTATCTAGCTGTAATAACTACTCACAGAGGTCATTTTTAATTGGAGATTCGCTAAAATGGCTAGTTAACGATAGCCAATAATGTAATAACGATAGAGCAGGCTGCGACCGCTGCGGGTGGTTAGCGCTGGGTAAGTTACGTAACCCAAATTTCAAATGGTTCCTGAAAAGGTCCCTTAAAAGAAAGACACTTACCTGCTATGAACGCAAGATAATTTTCTTAATTTGGGGGTTCTCGAGTCGGGTTTAAACCCGGGTGCTTTCTCCTCTTTGTTGTTCCTGTGTTCACGCAATACATCCGGCCGCTGCTGCAAACTACTTCCTGTAGAGTCAGCGAATGTTCAGGATCAAAAAACAGTTCGAGATTTGTTTGTAGTCTTTATTGTTTTGCCAACCTCGTCGAATTAAATAAATTCTAAGGATGAAATGTTAGCTTTTATCGCCATACCGAAGCAGTAATAAGAAACCGAAACAAATAGCTTGAATTAAAATAGCGCATTTTGTTCTCAGCTGGTTGTTCTTCCGGGTAACAGAGGAGACGACGCAAGGAGCTAAGAAAATCTGCAGAGAGCTACTCAAAAGCGTCAGAAAACATGGTTAGTACGTTTTGATGCACTGTTTGCAGGAATGATTTGTACGAAGAGCAAAAGCAGTGCGTCGGTTTTAGCGGGTCATTTCAGCAGAGCCGGGTTTGTTGTAAAAACGATTTGTAACGCATAGTTAGCATGAGTGGGCGTTTGGCTCCAACAAACCTCTGAAGACATGAAGCACATTCACGACTGAGAGACTAGCAGCCTGAGGCGAAAATATTATTTTAATTACTTTTATTAACAGTTTTTTGCCACTTGCTTATCGCCTAAAGATAGTTTTACTTAGCACTTAGACGAATAGTTTGCTGTAGGCTTAGGTGTAGGTCTATTTGTTTATAATTCATTTCAAAATGGGCCGTTTGGATTTTGAAACATTTTTGTCAATTTTTTAAATTGTTGTTGTGGTTGGCCCCCAAAAATGTCCACTGTTCTTAATATTCCTCCATCAGTCCTAAATTTTCATGAGAATTAGTCATTCTAGGTTAATGAGCCAGATAAGATTCTAAAATTGCGTAGTTTTTACAAACAAAACCAAAATATTGCATTTTAATATACCATGTGTAATAACTTGATTATAACAGATGGAATGTATTTGTTGAATGTAATGTAGTTATTTATTTAATACTCAATGTGCCTTATATTGAAAGACAATTACATTAAATAAAAGTAAAAATGTTTGAAAATTAGTAACGTAAGTGACAGAACTGTGCAAAAGTCTTAAGCCACTCCTCATTTAATTATGTTTTGCTTCCAGTCAGCCAGAAACTTCTGTACTATTTTTAAGGGGTTCTTGAGCAGCAGTCCTCCAGTCTCACACAGGGTTAAAATAGTAATTTTGCACCATCAAGATGACTACAAAGAGTTAGTAGCTGAAAACTTGGCATATCGTAGCATGCCGTGCAGAGTGCATGGAAGAAAATTGACAAAATAAGTGGTAGGATATAACTTTCAGACCAGATATCTGAAAGTTATATCCTTAAGAAATAGCAAATAAATAAATAATTCCACCAAAGACCCGACACAGGATCTGAGAAATGCATTTGACCCTTTAGTTGTTCCATCTACTGTTCACTGGGTTCATCAGAAGTGGTCTCAGTGGAAGGGTGGGTAATAAGAAGCTATTCTTAAGATGGGTAAACAGGAAGAAAAGGCTGAGGTATTCCATATTATACAAAACCTGGACTGAAAATCAGTGGGAACAGGTCTTATGAAGAAAATTTTACGTTTTTTGTACAAATTATCATTAATATGAGGAGGACTCAGGAGAAAGTGACCACAGTGAGTGTTTTGCAGTTTGGGGCTGCATTTCAGCCAGTACAATTGAGAAATTTGTCCAATTTGATAGAATTATGAACACAATTAGCACAGATGTTGATCTACTACGTAAAACCATCAGCAGTGCATCTGATTGGCAACACCTTAATTTTTCAGCATGACAATGACCCAAAAAAACACAAGCAATACAGTAAAAGCATACCTGGGTAGAAGAACACACTGTAGAACACTATCAGTCATGGATTGGCCTCCCCAGAGCCCAGGCCTCATTATTACTGAAGCATTGTTGTATCATGTTGACATGGATTGGGAAAAAAAAAAGTAGCCAACATCCAAACAATGGCGTTGAATCTCCTTCAAAGAGCCCTGCAGAGCTATTCCCAAAGACATGACAAGAAGCCTAAGATGGTCAGAGCAAATATTGACTTTTGTGCTTCTTAGAACTATAAACTGTTTTTGCCTCAGATTCTATATTCACACAGAAGTACACCCCCACAAACTAACAAAAAAGACATTTGAAGATGTTGAATTGAGAAGGTGACTTGTATTATCAGACTAACAATAAGTATTTTGTTTTTCAGTCTCACACCATACTTCTGGTACAGCCCACCAAGAGGCCGGAGGGAAGGACCTACGCTGATTATGAGTCAGTCAATGAGTGTATGGAGGGTAAGCTGGTGGTTCTTTGTTCTTTTGTGTATTGCCTTTTCTTTCAGTGATATGTAATTCCACTCCACACTTCCAGGCTTTCATTGTTTACATGTACACAGCTTACGTGCATCCACCTGGAATTTTAGTCAAACTTAGTGAAGTTTCCATGATGTTTCCTATCTATCTTGAGTCTGTAGTGTTAAAATATTAAGGGAAACTGGTTATTTTCACCCGACATGTATGCAACTTGTGTTTACTTACATGAGAAAACTTTTGGTTGTAGTGGTCAGGCAGTTCAACTAAAACTGTCCAGTAAACTCTGGTCATTTGACAAGTAATTGTCAAATAAGCATTTCATATGGTAATAATCTCCTGTTTCTAGTAGCACAGTTATCTTTCTTTGACTTTAGGAAGGAATTAATCTGTTATGTTATTATTTTTACTGCAGTATTTCTAATCATAGACTTTTCAGGTATTTATTTTGTAAGGTATTCCTTATTTGCATTAGAAATCAAAACATTGTCAAGTGAATATGGAAATATTTACTCATTGTGAGTGTAACATAGCATATTTTCCCCTGCACAGGTGTATGCAAGATGTATGAGGAGCATTTAAAGAGAATGAACCCCAACAGTCCGTCGATAACATACGATATCAGCCAGCTGTTTGACTTTATTGATGACCTGGCTGACCTCAGCTGTTTGGTGTAAGTTTCATGTTAAATTATTAAATTGTTTGTCATATCCAGCCCTGTGTATGTCTTCTAAACCTATGTATGTGCAAAGCATAATTAACTAATGGTACAGAATGATCAGTTTTTTAAAAAAAACTAGAGGAGTCAATAGAGTGTTAAAAGTGTTTGCCACATCAGTGCATTCAGTTCATGATTCTGCCTGCTAAATCTGCTGGGCAGGACAGATTTAAAAAGGGGGGTGGGGTTCTAAAAAAAAAAGAGAAGTCTTGATGCATGCTCAATCATCCAGGTAAAGAAATCCCAAAAAGTTGATTCTGTTCATCTGGATGTAGCGTTTTCAGTGGAGGAATCGTTTCATCACTCAAATGACTTTGTCAATCTGAGCTGAATGCAGGTTTCCCCAACCTTATAAACCGTGGAACCATGGAACGTGTCCTCTCTGGTGGGGAAGGAGCCTCAGCTAGTGTGTGAGGTTGAGAGGTACTGGCTGGATAAGGTCAGGCTCACCTAAGCGCACGCACAGCTTAGGCTCCAGAACCAATCTCGTGGAAAGGGCCCGGACTCTTTCTCAGTCGGGAGTTGCCCTTGGTGAGAGGCGGCGGCCTGGGGTGGGTATCTTAGCATCCACTCGGCTTGCTGGTTGTACAGTAGGGTTTTTCCCAGTGGGTGAGAGGGTTTGTTCCCTGCACCTTCTGGTTGGGGAACAGGTCTTGAATATTGTCTGCTCCTATGCGCTGAACGACAGTTCAGAGTACCAAGCCTTCTTTGGAGTCCCTGGGTTGGAGTGTTTGAGGGTGCTCCACCTGGAGACTCTTTCTTTTTACTGGGAGACTTGAATGTTGACGTGGGTAACGACGGTGAGAACTGTAGGGGAGTGACTGGGAAGAACGGCCTACCAGATTTGAATTCGAGTTGTGTTCTCTTATTGGACTTCTGTGCAATATATGTGAGGTCACTGAGGCATATTATCAATTCCTTGGTGGCAGGGCCCTTGTGGTGGATAGGGTTCGCCCTGAGTTCCTGAAGGACTTGGCCCACATAACTGGCAATAAGTCAGACCCCAGTGAGTTTTGGACTCTGCCAGGGCTGCCTTGGCATCTTGTGGTGGCCTCCAGCTCACACTGGAGTGGTTTGCACCCAAGTGTGACGCACAGGAATGAGAATCAGCACTCCAAGTCTGAAGCCATGGTCCTCAGCCGGAAAAAGGGTGGAGTGCCCACTTCTGGTCAGTGACCAGTTACTTTAACTCCTCCATTTGGGGCAGTATCTTGGGTTCTTTTCACAAGTGAGAGAACGGGAGATCGACAGACCGATTGTTGCTGTGGCTACAGTGATATGGGCACTGTACTGGTCAGTCGAAGTGAAAAGGAGGTTGAGAGTAAAAGCAAAGTTCTCAATTTACTGGTCAGTCTACGTCCCTGCCATCACCTGTTGTCAGGAGCCTTGAGTAGTGACCAAAAGAAAGAGATTGTGGATAAAAGCAGTGAAAATTAGCTTTCTCCAAAGGGTAGCCTAACCCTTTTCTTAGAGAGGGTGAGGAGTTCGGCCATCCGGGAATGGAACAGAGTAGAGGCGCTACTCCACCACATCGTTAGGAGCCAGTTGAGGTGGTTCGGGCATCTTAAAAGGATGCCTCCTGAATGAGGTGTTCTGGGCATGTCCCACTGGGAGGAAGTCCTGGGGCAGACCCAGGACATACTGGAGAGGTTATATCTCTCAGCTGGCCTGGAAACACCTTGGTGTTGGGGAGAGGGAGGTCTGGGTTTCTCTGCTTAGGCTGCTCCCCCTGCAACCTGGCTTTGGATAAGCGGAAGAAGATGGGTGGATAGGTCAGTACATGGACTCTGCGCTCAAACCAGCGTTCCTTCCTGTCCAGGATGCGTACATCCTTATCATTGAAATAGTAGCCGCTGGCCTGTAGGTGTAAATAGACTGCAGAGTCCCCTGGCCTGATGAGTTAGCTCTTCTGTGTCATGCTATCCACTTAGCCAAAGGTTGTTTCGTTGCCTTGATGTCTTAATCATGGCAGGTTTGTGTCGGGGGACCGGATCCTTGTGGTGGACCAATTTTTAGCGCGGCATGTTTTGGGGATGTTTGTGGATGTGTTATGCTCCAGGTAGTCCAGGAAGGATGAAGAACAAGTGCTGCCTAAGCGAAAATCTTTAGTGATCCCTTGTGTGTCAGGAGTATCGGAAGAGTTTAGATGCATTTTCTCTAGACACCACATCTCTGTGGCTTTCAAACCTCACAGCCCATCATTCATCAGTGGTGCTAGTTTAAGTCATTATGCAAATTTACTGTTTATAAGAGACTGAGACTGAATAAGTCGTTTGGATGAGTGGCATTTCACCCACCGAAAACAGTACAGCCAAATGAACAGAATCAACTTTTTGGGGCAATAAGACAAGTGATTAAGAAATGAGATGAATGCTGCAGAAACTCGTTAATCTCTGGATTCATCACACAGAGCAGTGAAATGTGTTTTAATTCAAGTTAATTATTTTATCTCTGAGTGCGCTCTCAGGGATGCTGTTTATTCTAAAGTGATAGCAGCAAATTAGAGCTCTAAAACTTTTAACCAGATACATTAACATATTAAATGCTGCTGTCCCACAGCCTGATAGAGGAGATGTAGAAATCACTTTAGTTTCTCGGCAGATCAAAGTGAAATAATTTTTTTTGATTGAACAGGTATTCTTGCTGTGTGTTCTGTATTTTAGTAGCTGCAGTTCCACCAGGCTAAATGAGGCTTAACCGCAGATTAGGACCGAATATAACAACATTTATGTAATTTATGCATCGCAAAATTAATAAAAGTGCATTTCCATGACAATGTGGTGTCCAGTTTGCACTTTATTTACTGTTTTTAGGTTCAGCTTAACAAAATGCACATATAAACTTATTTCTCCAGCAAAGGATCTATATTGTGCTTACAGCATGCTGTAAGTAAAAGAATCAGTGAAAACGTGTCACTTTCACACTATTTTAAAACCAAACCTGCTCCCCAGGTTATGTGTTCAGCATAAGTTATCATGGCGATTTAACCAGGTAAAAAGAGAGCCACCCGCGACATAGAAAATAACTGTCTAACCTATTAATCTCATTTCATTGTACACCCTTCAGGTGTAAGAATTTAGATGAGCAATGTTGACAGACTTAAAAAAAAAAAGATATTATAGTTATAATGGCACACTTGATGTTTTGTATTTTTAAAGAAAAACAGATCAGCCCCTCCTCGAGCTAAAATCTGTCCTCAAATTATTTAGAACCCATATCTTTTGATGATGACAAATCAATGACAGTCCTTTTTTTCCCTCAATCTTTTTGTCATCTGCTGGGTTTTCTTATTTCCTTCATTTAGATTTCTCCATCACAAAGCTGCCAAAACATGTATATAATTCATAGAGCAACCCTGCAGGGATATTTCCAGCAGTTTTCTAACACAGTTTGATTTGAAACAAAGTCTTTAGCAGTAAGTTCGCCTTCTAAAAAGAGCTTGTTTCCAGCTTTTTTTTCTGCTGCATTTGGCAGGAACAGGCACATCCCAGCATCAGTGTTTCTATTAATATTTTTTTAATGCTCGTGGCAGTGAGTGAAAACCACATCAAGCTTTATAGAGATGTAGAACAAGCCAGCTGCAATAACCTGCCCACAGGTGATTTAGGGCAATTTGTTATTCTTAATTTGGGGAGTTCAAGCTCATTTATTCAGGCAAGATTACTCTGTTTGAGTTCCTCTGAGCTAATCGCAGCTCGCAAAAAGACAAATCTAGAAGAACAGTCGCTACTTAGGTCACTTATTTGCTCATGTTGGGTGTTTTTAAAAATAAGGAGTTGCATGTTTTCATTAAAAAAACTGAAGATCCTGGGCCAACCAGAGGGGGGGGAAAAGAAAAACATTGAAACTGAATTTAATTTTTGGTGCTGCCTCAGGTATCGTGCTGACACGCAGACGTACCAGCCGTACAACAAGGACTGGATCAAAGAGAAGATCTACGTGCTGCTGCGGCGTCAGGCTCAGCAGGCAGCGCAGTGAAGCTTCTGAGGAGGTGGAGAGTGGGGGGGTATCAGAATTATTTTTCCTGTCTTGAACTTGTTTTAAAAGTTTTAAGTAACTTGTTTTCAGAAGTTTTTGACTTTTTTTTTCTCATCTCATGTGGGGGGATGTATTTTGTATTTTATTGTTGGACTTAATAAAGTTTCCCTTTAAATAGCAAAACTCCAGACTCTCGTCTTATTGTCCTATGTTCTGTATTTCTGTGTTCTGTCTCTTCTTTCTTGAATTGAATTTTGCTCATCTTTTATTTATTTATTTTTTTTATCTCTGTTGTATTTCCTTTAGTGGAATTTTTTGTTTTCTTACTAGTTTTATTCTTAATGTCTTTCATCTACACTCCCTCTTGAACAGCATGTCAGCTGTTGAAAAGTGCTAATAGTGACTGACTTTAGAGTACTCGTGAAGTTTTCCCCTTTTTGCCGCTGCTTTTCTGTTTACATTATTCTTTTTTGTAGTTGCGTTCTTTTACTGCCTTGTTCCTCATTTTCTGCACTATTTATTCTGCCCCTCTCCCTTCTGCTATCAATTTGTCAAATGTAGAAACATGCTGCTGAGAATGATAATTTGCCTTTCAGTCCTGCACGTTGTGAGGCTTCCAGTTTTGGCTCAATAATACAAAAGCAAATAAGCTCTGTGTTTAAAAAAGGGGGTTTCAAAAAGTACGGACTGATTTTCATGATTTTTTTTCTTTGTTATTATTATTAGAGGTGAGACTTGGCCCAACTAGATGCAGGGACTGAATTAATGAATAGCTTGGAGTTATTTTTCAGCCTTAATAGAGCCTCCATCTCACATTATCCAGCATCCTCTTCAGTCACACCAACCCTCTCCATGTCCTCCTCCACTACATCTCTGTGGTCTTCCGCTTTTTCTCCTGCCTGACATCCACCTTCAACATCCTATGTCCAGTATTGTCTGTCTAACTTTGTCTCCTACTTCTCAGCCTGAGCTGTCCGTCTGATGTACTCATTTCTAATCTTGTCCATTCTGTTCACTCCAAATGAAAATTTTAAGCACCTTCACCTCTGCCCTCTTGTCTTTTTTGTCAGCACCGTCTACAAGCTATACATCACAGCAGGTATCGCTACCATCTCGTAAACTTAAGTTAAACAGACTCTTGCTGCACTCTGTAATTAGCTCCTTAATGACTCGGTCCAGTGGTAAACAGTTTTGTATCCTTTCAGAATAAATGGGGATAAGGTTTCGAAGAAAAAGCTTCCTCCTTCACTGATATTTTTTCCCCTTACACTCAGTCTCCTTTGGCAGTTTAGTGCATAACTTTTGAAAACTGTGACTAATTATGTTAGTTTGCTTTGGCGTTATCCCTCATTTCACAGACAAATAACTCTTTGTGTATGTGTGTGTTTTTCCATGGATCATACTTAAGCAGACTTCTTTTTTTTTTTTCTTATTTCTGGTTATATGTGGCCTACATTCAATCTTTTTCCACCTTTAATTTCCTTTCTCTTTTTTTCCCCCTCATTTTTTCCACTTTCTCCTCTCTTGATCTCTTGAACAGTGCGTGATTAAGCAACCCTCTTTGCAGCAGAAATAGTTTTAAAAAACGAAAAACTATTTCCTCAGTCATTTTATTTATAAGCATTATTTGCTAATGTTTTCTCATCTTCTGTTAGCACTTGTTGTACTTTCTTCTTCCTTAACACCATAAAGTCCTACACGAATGCAGCTTGCTTTACTTTCCCGTAGTTATGTCTTATGTCCAAACATTGATTTTCTTTTTCTTTACAATTGTGACCTACAAATGTATTACAAATACCAGAAGCGAGTGACTAAAAGATGCATATAATGCAAGAAAAGCCTCAGTAATCGGGATGAGGGAGCTCCGCGGTGAAGCGCAGACACATCTGAAGCGTCTGCCGCCTGGCGGAGCGCACAGCGCGGTCAGCCTCCTCCCGCAGTCGCGCCGCTGAATCTGGATACTTGTCTCCTCAGCTGTATTTTCCTCCTCTCCACCTTTGTGCTGTGATCGGCTCTCCCAGTCCGTTTCTCACACCCACCCCGGTACCCCCCATCCGCACCCCTCCTCCTTCCCACCTCCATCGCACCCTACCCTACCCCATCCACCGCCACCCCCTCTCCTCCTTTTAGCATCTGAAAAGACCACTGAGTGAGAATCGATGGCGCAGAGGCCCGCTTGACAGGACAATAAACCACAAAGAAGGGGTGAGTTTTTTTTCCCTCTCTTGGTTGTTTTTTTTGAATTGCGGAATTAACTCTAATGGCACAACCATAAGGGGATCGCTCGAGGCTGGCTGCGCGGAGATGATATTTTAACACACGGCATCTTTTGTTACCGCGATATGATTTACAGCAGGCGTCAGCTGCCGTGGTCCCACTCAGGGGGTGGGGGGGGGAGAGAGGAAAAATTATATATATATTTTTCTAAAAATAAATTAAAAAAATATATACCGTAAGGGGAAACCAGCGGCTCTGCATCCAGCATCGTTTGGGACATTAATTTCACATGAACACACATTCACCTTACGTAACCTATAAATGCATCACAGAATCCAAGAGAATAGCATGGCACTTGCCGCTGCAGCTTTAGATGAGTGTCGTTTGCCTGGATTTCATTGGGCGATGCGGTACCTTGAGGGTGTTAATGCGGTTGTCTCTTGTTGTAAACAAAAATATGTCAGCGGAATCGGAGAGGGAGGCTTGTCTTGTCTTTTTGAGGGACCTCCCCGGGAAATTGAGCGCAAGGCAGTGAGTAATGTTATAATTGGCTTGCTCTGCGCCGAGCTTTTCCACATTGCTTCCCTTTTCAGCCATGAGGAGAGGACAAGTCACATCCAAGGCGCAGGGGGAGCCGTCTATTTACAGCTGAGGCGCTCAGATCTGCCTCTCACGTCTGTGAGCGCCACAACAATAGCTTCCATTTTCCTCATCAGCCTCGGGCATAATCGATAGTAAAATATATATGTGTGTATTACACTATTGTTAGTGCAGATTTGGTCCAGTCTCCCAGGTGTCTGCTACAAAAATCACACCAGCACTGCCCACAGCTGAGAAGAAACTGATGAATCATATATTGATCTTATGTCTCAGCGTTCAGATGAGAATGTGTTTTGGCTGCTGATAACCTCAAGTGACCTGACAGCATGTGGTGGTCTGTTTGTGCCCCCCCCCCCTCCTTGCGTACAGCATCTTCACCGGCTACCCGTGAGACGCAGCGATGCCCCAGCAGAGGGAGGTCTCGTCTCCGTCCCGCCGCCTCGGCCTGGCATCCACCCGCCTCCAGACACTGATGCCCGACCACGACTTCCCATGAGGCCACCACCAGCACTCAGCTCGACCGCTCTGTATGGGGCCTCTCACATATGAAGTAGGTTCCTCTTATATATGGTATATGGGTGAGATACATCCAGTGCTCATGTTTTACATCAGGACTATAAAATGGCCCAATAATTCTCGTTTTGAGATCAAGATAGATTTCTGGATTCAGTTTTTTCACGTTTTCCCCATGACACTTTTACTCCTTCAAATTAATAAAAAGAAATATTTGTTAATTGAACCATTTAAAGACTAATAGCCACAAACATTACTTTATATTTTCTGATTATTGTGTGAGCTCTTGCATTGCAATATTGAAAAAGGCACACACACAAAACACCGTTTACATTTATAAAGAGTTATTAAATTATTATTTTTTAAGTGGTGTTGAGCAGTAGTTCTTCAGGCTTTCTGAAGGTCTTTGGATAGCAGCCTGTCACAAAAACCAGATGTCATTTGTTTCTTTATTTGAATCTATAAAAAATAAAATCAAGGATAACACAAATTGACAGGCATAAAACTGAAAACCTGGCAAACCTCAGCATGCTGTGCAGAGTGTTCTTAAAAAAAATTGGAGGAAACTGAACAAGTGGAGGAAAAAGGAAGAAATGGCAGACCTAAAAGACAATCTACAGCACACAAACAGTCCATGAAGTTGCTTAAGAGTAGGAACAATTTTAGCAAATACCTGATTTAGGACCTGAGAGATGCATCCCTTCAGTTGATCCATCTATTGTTCACTGAAACCTTACCAGAAATGTTATCAGAGAAAGGGAAACAGGGATGTAATACTGAATAATGCCAAATTACACAGGAATTGGAGTAAAAAATAAAAATGTACAGAGGAAATCAGGACAGAGATACATCTTTAAAACAGTGTGGAGGCTCTCCATGGTTTGGGGCTGCCTTTCAGCCAGTGGTGTTGGAGATCTTGTCAAAATTTTAAATGCAGAAAAGCACCATCAGTTTCCAGCTTCTGGAAACACAAACACACACTGACAATCCAGCAGAAGCATATCTGGATAGGAAAAAAAACACAGCGATGGACTGACTTCCCTAGAGCCCAGATACTGAAGCAGTGTGGGACAGAGAATGGGACAAAAGGGAACCGACATCCAAAGAAGAGCTCTGAATGTCCTGCAAGAAGCCACAAGGACTATTTCTGAAGACTGCTTAGAGAAAGCTTGCCTCAGAGTATTGAAAAATAAAGGTGATTATGTGTAACAAAGCCAAGTTTTTTGGGCATATTTTATAGATTGTAAGAGTGTGTGGCCTCATTTCATTTCTACAGTTTTTAATTTTGTCATTAATTTGTTAATTATAATTTTTCCAGGCTAAATAAAAGTAGAATGATGATTAAAATAAGTGTGGATGATGGACAAATAAACTAATTACTGTTTTACTGTCCCCGTATCCAGTCACCGGCTCCATCTACTGAGTCAGTTTCAGCAAATGTTGTCCACCCAAACTATCTCTCATTCAAAAGCAGATTTAGCCACTTAACCTGCTGGGCTGTCCTTAAAACCAAGCAGCTTGCATCAAGTTTCAAAATGTTCACTGTTTCCTCCTCTTCCTTTCAGTTGACATGGAGGATGAAGATGGGACTTGTCTACTTGATGTTTTGTGGTGAGTTTCTGATCTGTAATCGTACAGCAGGTAAAAAACAACAACAAAAAAACCACAGTCTCAAAGATATTTAAAGTACATAGATTATAATAAATTAAGGTTATTAACTGATTTTTTTGTTCTTTGCCTTTGTAGTGACCCCCAAGCCCTGAACGACTTCCTTCATGGGACCAATGAGGTAACAAATACTTAAATAAAGGGACTCAAATGGGGAAAAAAATCAATAGTGCTAATGATGGATTTGAGTTGGAAATATTTCTTGGCACATGGTACTGAGAGATGTCTGGAGGAGCGCAGAGAGTGTGAAAGGGACTCGTTATGTAGTACTGCGTGAATTTCTCAGCACGTTTGCGTGAGCCCGACTTAAAATTGGCTGATTTTATTCCACCAGCTGCAGACTGAAGACCTGCTCATTAACTCCTCCTCTGGGGAGCCCTCCCTCTTCACAGATGCCCCGGTGAGTGTCTGGATCCACAGCCAGTAGCATCACAACAAACAGCATTTTCCCTCGGGAGAATTATGTTTTTCTCCCCTTCTGTGCTTGAAAAAGCTTCCTGTTAACTTGTGCTAATCACACAGTTCTCCCCTATTTTCACTCAGCTTCTTCTCTCTGTTGTCTGCACCTTTCTGTTTACCTCCCACTGCTTCTTCCCCCAGAGTCCTGTCTCTCTGCTGGGAGATGGCAGGGACTCCCCAGACACGCCTCCGCCTGGATGTGTGGATCTGTCCTTCTTGGAAGAGGCCCTCCTGTCATCTCCAGAGGGTGGAGAAGACCCACAGGTGGTGCAGGGTGAGCCACCTGTGGAGGCAGCTTGTGAGGCAGAGAAGAGAGAAGTGGAGGAAGAGGAGGAGGCGGAGGTGGCATGTGATATCCTCCAGCAGAGCCTACAGGAGGCTGAGATCACTGAGCAGACCATGGCTCTGGAAGCAGGTCTGGCACAATCAGGGGACAGCCTGTCCCTGTACTCACCGGCCCCTCTCCTTTCTCCACCCACCGCTCCATTCATTCCTAAATCTGTGACCTTGCCCGTGACCACGGCATTGCCCAGAGACACCCAGGCAGCAGTGGAGCCTCCCCAGCCCTCCCTACTGGCTGTCGGGCCTGGATGTCCTTCTTTAAAGCCTGCCGCCCCTCCTCAGCTGATGGGGCTACTACCTGGAAATGTATTTCCTGCTCCTTCTCCAGAGACCTCCTTTTCTCTAAGTCCTGCCCAGGGCTCAAGTATGATCATCCACAAGGCTGTGCCGAGCGTTGCCAGTCGACCTCTTATAACTCCAACCCTGAGAGCAGCAGCAGCAGCAGCACCGAGCATCGTCCTGCAGCGCGCACCTCATCCTATACAGCCCAAGTTGCCCATCAGCATTCAGCCCAGACTGGTTCAAATTAGCCCCAAGCCCTCTGGGCAGAAGCCCACTCCTGGTCTTACATTCGTCCCTGGGACTGCCTCACCAAACATTCTATTGTCTCAAGCAGCGGGCCAAAAGACTGTCGCTCCGCCACCGCAGCCCACCCAGCAGCTCCCCAAACCAGTCAGCCTGCAGCTGGTCAATCAGGGTGGCTCCTTTGTGCTGCAGCCTCAGGGACTATTCCAAGGCCAAAACCAGTTCCTTCTTCCGGGCCAGTCTCCTGTTACAATCTCCCAGTCTGTCAGTGCAGCACGACCGCTGCTGACACCCAGTCACCAAGGCTCATCGGTTCACAGCATGACCCCCTCCACTGGGCAGCTTGTAGATGGCTCTCAGATCTTAACTGTGCCCCAAAGACAGCTGAATTTCAGCCCTGTGTTCACCACCGCAGCTGGGCAGCTAGCGCTTCGCCAGGCCACTGTGCTTTCAGGACCTTTGCAGCTACAGTCAGCACCTGCTACTGTCTTCCAGATGCCAGCACAGCTGGCTGGAACCTATGCTCCAGGAGGGCAGGGGCAACGTGCCACCCTGGTCCACAGTCCTGCTCTTGGAAACCACATTACCTTGATCAACAGTTCAGGGGTGCTTCCCCCAGATCTTACTTCTATCTCAATTGTTAATGGCCCCTCAATGGTTCAGGGGATGCCTTTTGCTGCCCAGGGCCCAGCTCCTCCGAGAGGAGTGACAGAAGGACAGCTAAACCTCCAGCAGGCCTCGGTGGTCCTGCTGCCAGAGAGAACTATTCAAGAAGAGAGGACCAGCTCTGAGGAGACTTTTCACCAGCTACAACAGGTGAGCTCTAACTGGAGTGTAGAGGCACATGATCTGCATGAAGGAGCTTTTGGTGTAGATACTTACAAAGTAAAACTGAGTAGCTGCTTTAACATAAAGTAACAACTTTGAACTGTCTGATTTCTTACTGTAGTAACACACGAGATTCCTCAAAATGCCTAAAATCCCATTTTGCCCACAGAGATTCAGAAAATATTCCCTCCATAAACACACCAAGTCTACACGGCTACATTTACTTTTTTTTTATCTGTTCCTGAACTTAATTACCACACAATAATAATATAACTTTGATATAAAGACTTGATGGTCATTGTGCTCAATTACACAACCCAGTTTTATCTGACTCTAACGTCTCCTTCTGCAGCCCTATGGACACACTCTCCAGCACGTCTCTGTACAGCCCACCACTTCTGCAGGGCTGCAGTCCTCCTCTCCCCCTGTGGTTACAGTCCTACAGCCACCTCCCGAAGCACCTCTGGCCCCCGACCCTGCAGAGATGCCCAAACTCTTGTTGCCCCCATCAGATATGACCCAAGTGGTAGAGGAGGTGACCCACTCGATGAGTCAGAACCAGGCCTTTATGCAACATCTGCAACAGGTCAGAGCTCGAGCAACCTCCTGCGAATTTTACATTTACATGACAGCAAGACAGTGCCGATTCTCATCAGTGAAGTGCATGTAAAAATATAAGCAACAGGCAGCTAAACGGTAGAATGTAATTTAAGGTCTAACTTTACAGTACAGAAACTTTACAGAAAAGGACAAAATGATGGTGTATTAAAAAAGGAGTTTCACTGATAGAAACAATTTATGTTATATTAACAAGCCCTGGGTGCAAGTATGTGATTATGTTTCAAATAGCTGCTGCTATTTGATAGACTTGCCTCTGTTTCCTGTGGAAGCAGGCTCACCAAAAACAAGGATTTGCGTGAAGTTTAAGGCTCAGGCAAACTGGAAGAACTTAGATAGGCGATACAGAGAGAAGTAAATGGATTGATTCCTATATAGCGCTTTTCTACTCTCCCGGAGTTCTCAAAGCGCTGTGTACAATGTGCCACATTCACCCAATCACACCCATTCTCCCAAGCACTGACTCTAAACTGAGTGCTTTTCTAACAACATTCACACACTGATGGATGCATCGGTGAGCAGCTTGGGTATCTTGCCCAAGGATACTTGGCATGCAGGCTGGAGGAGCCGGGGATCGAATCACCAACCTTCGGATCAGTAGGTGACCTGCTCTACATCCTGAGCTACAGCCACCCCCAAGAAGTTAGACGACCTTTTTAAAGATGTGCAAAGTCAAATGTTAGATTTTTGAGTTTGCTGCTTTAAGGAGGGACTAGCCCCCTAAGTCACCCCTCTTTTCTAGCATAATTGTGGCCATAAACACTATAGGATTCAAATTACAAAAAGAACTCGCAATATAGCATGCTTGTTGTTTGTTACGTTCACTGGTGATGCAGAGGAAGAACTATAAAGAACTGTAAATATTCATACCTTAGAGAACTTGGAGTCTTCAACTCTTCGGCCTGCAGCTCAGTCTCCTGGCGTTTTCTCAGTGCCACCATCTCCTAAACAGACATCACAGCAGGTCTCTTTACCATCTTGTAAACTTTCCCTTTCGATCTTGCCAAAAGTGAAGTTAAATAAATGAAAATAAAATGTGTGCAGAGCTTCTGGTATAGATCTGTAATGTCAAGTTGCCTTAAAACAATAGAGGCAATAAAGATGCAGTGGTGAAGATAATATAAAACGATCTAATTTGTCTGGTTTTTTCTGATTCTTTCTACCACAGCAAGCACTTAGTCCCCCGATCACTTCTGAATTGTTGGTTGGAGCGCTGCCGGTGGTGCCAATGGAGTCGCTCGCCTCACCAGTCACCAGTGACAGAGAGTCCCAACCTCAGACCCATGCAGTCTCCGGTCAGGACACCTGCACAGTGATGTCAGACCAGTGTGCTGAGGTTTCTCCGCTTCACTCGGACCCTGAGAACACGCCACTGATCTGCTCCCCCTCTCAGATTCAGGACACTGGAAGACCAGCAGCAAGAACTTTTTCCCCTCCAACCGGCCCTCAGATTGCTCTGCCAGGACCTGAGAATTCAGTCCCCCAGACTACAGCTTCCCAGCCACACAGTGAACCCCTGGTTCAGTACGAAGTCCCTCATCAGCTACAGGTATCGCAGGCCTTGTTTGCCCACAACCAGTTGCAGATCCAGTCATCTGTTTCCAAGCCTCTGCCCCAGGCTCAGGCCTCAGTTTCACGGCCCCAACTATCTGTTTCACAGCCTCAGCCTTCAAACCATACTTCAATCCACAGCAGTCAATCCCCTCTGCCTGTCAGTGTCTCGGTGCCTCAGCAGCAGCCTAATCCCACAGCTGCATCTGCAGTTCTCTCCAAAGCAGGAGACGACTCTGCTGTCCAACAGCACACACAAAACAGTGAGTTATCTGCTAGTTGATAAATAATATGATTCTTAATTAGCTTTTTTTTTTTTTTCTATTGCCCCCACTATTGCTATCGCTTTTATTATATTTTATTTCCAGTTAATTCATTATCATGATTGCTGCCACCATTTCTGTCATCCTTGTAATTCTGTCCGCTATCAGAGCCAACAGCTGCCTTGGCCGTGGAGAGTAAGGCATTTACTCTCGATGTCCATCCACCCTCTCCTGCAGCCCAGGGGGTCCAGGGGCCCCCTGCTCCCATGGAGTGCGCTCCCATCCAGACAAGTCAGCAGACGAGCACCAAGGTGAGCGAAAGCTAATATCCAATTACTTGAAGTCTGATTTATTATTTAATTTAAAAAGAAATGTAATTGTTATTATCAATTAATATTATAATTATTTTGTCAGTGTATTAATTTCTTGGTATGTTTCTAAAACAAGTTCTGACCAGCTCCTTCATCATTTCATGATGCTCTTTCTTGTGATAATATTGTGTTTAGTAGGTTTAGTGCTATTAAAATCTGTAATCTACTCATAATTACTATACATAATTTTTCCTCTGTACTGAAATGAAAGAATAAAAGATGGCAAGCTTTGAAATTATTATTTGTTTAATACTGCAAATGTGTAACGACTGACTTCAAAATGCACCCGCGTCTGTCGTTTTTAACTCGTCCAAAATGTTGTGCGTCTGCCAGCTGGCAGGTCCTCTGGAGCTGCAGAGAGAGGAGAGGCTCACACCAGCAATGCGCAGGCACAGGTAAGAGAAACTAAGAACATTTCTGTACTGCTGAAAGTCGTCATGTAAGACGCTGTTGTGCCTTTCCGATTTTTTTTCCTGGTGAATAACAGGAAACTGTCTGAAATGCAAAATGTTGAAAATATTATGCAGTGGGAAATTATTGCAGACGTATGAATGTTGTGTGTATTATGATGTATGCACTTTTGGCCATGTATCATTAGAACAGGGGTGTCCAACTCCAGGCCTCGAGGGCCTGTTTCCTGCAGGTTTTAGATCTCACCCTGTGTCAGCACACCTGAATCACAGAATTAGTTCATTACCAGGCCTCTGGAGAACTTCAGGGCATACTGAGGAAGTAATTTAGCCATTTAAATCAGCTGTGTTGGATCAAGGACACATCTAAAACCTGCAGGACACCGGCCCTTGAGGCCTGGAGTTGGACACCTCTGCATTAGACTAATGATTGCACATAATTCCTTAGAAGCATTTTTTTTCTTGTTTGTTGGACTCTTATTGTGAAAACAGTGTGCAGTAAATAGTGATTCTACAAGCATTTTCTGCTATTGACAGGAAAGATGGGAAGTTAACACAAAGAGAAACTTCTGTCGCTTCTCTTGTTGTTGATGATGAGGTTTTGGAGTATTGGATGCGTATGCTATCTTACGTTGGTACACACCAACTGAAGTGTGAGGCCTCATATTTCAAATCAAATCAAAAATCAAATCACTTTTATTGTCACATCACATGTGCAGGTACATTGGTACAGTACATGTGAGTGAAATTCTTGTGTGCGAGCTTCACGAGCAACAGAGTTGTGCAAAATACAATAACGTAAACAAGAAAAATACAAGAATGGCTACATCTGAAACTAATAAATATATGTACAATATTTAATAGTATATGCATTTCTGGATGTGTATATTTTAAAACATTGTATAATTAGATTTAAAATCACTTTAAATTCAGTTATTGATTTATCTACTTTAAATATGAAGTGAGGAGTTTAATAAGATTACATGACAATTACAAGTTATCTACACCAGTATCTCAGCTGATGGAGGAATCCAAATGGTGTATTGATAAAAGCTGCATTCAAACTGGAGGGGGGGCGGTTGTGGGCCCAAAGCGGGTTGTCTGCTATTTGGAAGGTCCGTGTTTAAATCCCTAGCTCCACTAGTCTGCGTGTTGAAGTATCCCCGGGTAAGATACTGAACCTAAAGTCTCCCCGAGTGCATCTATCAGCATCTGGTTTGAAAAAAATAGGTTTGATAAGCAGCTTTTACTTAAAAGTGAGACAGTTTACATTTTATTCTACCAGTTGTCTGTGCTACCTGTGTGTTCGCCTCAGTATAGACAACACACACCAGCAAACATCAGACTTTACTTGCATCACTGCACACACACGGCATAAACTCAATACTGCACGCTTCAGAAAGCTTGCCCAGTGGGTGAAGCGGATTCAGATTCTACATAATAACCCAAAGTCTCTCCCCTGAAGAGTTCACAGCCTGGCAGCAGCTCCCCATGTCTGCGGTGCATATATATGTGTGTGTCTTGTCAGCCCTGCACCTACTGTATAAAAAGGTAGAGGTTAATTGGGAAAATGTGCAATAGGTGTGCCAGTCACCTCACTTGGCACTGCTCCCTGAATCGCTCTGCCCCACCTTTCCTCCTGCAGCTGAGCCCCAAAACCACACAACATGAAACATAAAACATGAAGATTCCTGTAAACTGGTACTTTTCATGGCTCTTAAAGCTGATAAATGTAACAAAAAATAAAAAAAACAAACCCACGCTATTAGATGGTTCCACCTGTGTTTTGTGTCTTGTCCTACTTCTTTTGTGCTGTAATAAACTACTGTAGGTTTAAGTTAACGCAGAGTTTTTATTAAACCCTTCAGGTTCCAGCAGCAGCTTTGTTTGGACCATGGAGCAGTGCAGGCTCCGCTCACTGGCCCAGCCTTCTCCACACTGAAGGACGCTGTTAGACACCTGCTGCCATACCACACCTGCGCTGGTCACCTGCCCACTCAGGATGACTTCAATTTAGGTTAGCTTGATCGCTGACTGATTACTGACCTAACCATATCCTGCACATAAATGTATCTGGAAGAACAAGTGCCAAACTACTTTATAACTCAATAGGATGTAATTATTTTTATCATATGAGTTATTAATGATGTTCCTCTTCACAGTGGACCAGGAGTTCGACACTGTGTCCGGTTTCCTGCTGAAACGCACCAAGGACATGGTCAACAAATACAGGCAGCTATTAGTTAGAGAAGCCCAGGTGAGACACCTCCTCTGGGGCGGTATTGCTTCAAAACCAAAACAATGTCTGGATGTTGAGTGACTCAGTTTGCTTAGTTTCAGATGTTGATTCTCTATAATCATCTTCTCAGTACTGTTTGGGTCTGTGTTTAAGGGGATTTGAACTTGTCTCCACAGCAGGAGAGTCCCTCAGCAGAGATGGTAATGCTGGAGCGTCTCTTCCTCCAGGCCGAGCGATACGCTCTAGCGGAGGACAGACGGCGAGCCCGCAGAGACCCGGGTCAGTGTCACAGCAGGATTAAAGAAGTACCGCCGCCTATTATTGTTACTATTATTAAAAAGAGGTTTGCTATGTGTGGGTGGGTGTTTGCCAAAATGCAGATGCCAGTGCTGAAGTAAATCTGAACCGGCAGGGAAAAAATGAATTAGTGAAACAAACTTATTAGCACTGCTTTTAACCTGCATATTTGCTCCAGAGCAGCTCCCAGGTGTTAAGTAATTAAATGGTGTAAATGTGGAGCAGGGTGTGCTGAGAGAGACTCAGCATGATGGTGAAAAACACAGTTATGTTAATTAAACATTTGGAAAAGGGGCAGGAGGTTGTTGAAAGCTGTTACGAAAACTAAGACATCAAACTATTAGTTTCATGTCTGTTTGCATGTGCTCTCTTCAGGCGCACTGCTGCATTTTAATCTGGCAGTTCTATAGCTGGATTAAAACGTTATGTTTTGGGGGTGAAGGCATAGGCAACTAAAAGCACAGCTTTGTGCATAATTAGTGAAATTTGTTTGGATAATTTTTTTATTCTCTATGATCTGATCCTTTAGACTTTTATGCCTGAAAATTCTTCATCTTCACAGCATGTCTATGTAGAATTAAACCAGACAAACTGGATAATATTGTTCAATCAGCTCCACTTTCCTTTTTCCAGAGTCCTTTATGACAGCTTTGGCTACGTCAGCGTCTTCCCCTCATGCCCACTCCTCTGGCAGCCCCTCTTCTCCCCCAGCCTGGACCAGACTGTCCGACAGGCCTCCGGGACTGAAGACCTACCGCTCCAGCTCGCGGGGGGCTCTCAGACTCACCATCAAGCAGGAGTCAGGCTCTCGTAAGGTGATCCACAACTCGGCCTACGACCCGGGACTCAAAAGGGACCACACGGGGCAGCTGACCAACGGTGGTGGGGCTGTGAACGAACGCCACTCTCAGGCACCCAACAGAGAACCCAAGCGTCCTGAGCATGACGAGGAGATGACCAACGGAGCTCCGCTCAGTAACACTGCTGAGCAAGTCTCACAGACAGCACCCACGTCCGTAAAAAAAGTCCCAAATCCTCTTTCTATGCCAGAGCCGCAGGATGTGCGCTTTGAGTTGCCTCCCAGAGACGTCAGCGCTCCAAAACTGAAATGTTTCAGGGTGGATGCGTCCCCTCGGGCCGAGCAGCGGTTCAGCCCGCCGCCTCCGCCTTTCCAAGAGGACAACATGCTCAGTGAACATCTACAGAGTGCCATCGACAGCATACTGGAGCTTCAGCGCCTGCAGGGCCCCTCTGCAGCCCCGACAAGGGCCACGTCAGGCCCGACATTGGACCAGGCTGTCACCAGCATCCTGGAGGGACACCTGTGAGGTAATCTGCATAGACAGGCATCCACACCGATCCTAAAACATCGAAGTTGAAGTAAAACAAAGGAAGGTGTACAAGACTTCTTACCTGTTCCCAGAAGGGTTTCAGATTTTACAGAAAAAGCGAGGAGAAAAAAGTTAAGAGGCACTATAAGCAGATGCATACCAGACAACAGCACTATCTATAGTCCGATAGATGTTAGATACTTCATTTTGATGTACGTTTGTGGAAAAAAAATCTATTTGAATAGGAGCTATATTGTTTCAGTGGTAGTTGAGTCATTCAGAGGTTTACGACACTGGTGTAACCTTCATCAGCATATAGTATATAAGTAATAGTGAGGCAAACGAAAACGTGGAGTAGACTGAGATTATTCAATAGTTTTTTATAAGATTTCTTTCGAAAATGTGAAGTTTTCTTTTGCATAGTGCCAAGCTTCCAGGGTATTTATTTTGATAATCTGTGCCAATTGTGTTTTGCGCAGCGAAGATGTGCGTGCGTGTTTTCCTTTGGATTGGTTTGCGTGGATCAGATAAGTGCGTGTGTGTTTGTGAGAGTGAGAGAGAAGACATTGCATCCTGCTATGGGACAGTACAAAAAAAAAAAAAACAACAAAAAAAAAATACACAATTCCCGCAGGCTCCATCATCTCGGCTTAATGAATGAAACTCCAAAGAATTTGTGCTACATCCTGAATACACCAGCAAACGTCCGTGTTGTGTCTCTTCCCACAAACTGGAGTGCGTCCTTGTTATAGCAGAAATAACCCGAGGGGGGTTAAAATACATATTAGGCAGTCATGCTTTCTTATTTTTCATTTTTTTGGACCCTTGCTGTCACTTGTGCTAGAGTCTTAACTGTGAAAAATCTCTAGTTTTCTGTGCGTTTTCAGAAACGATAATGGTTTCCCATACTGTATGTATTAACATGCAAGCAATAATAAGTTGGGGTTGTTGGGAGCAGTGGTGGTGCAGTGAAGAGGAGGAGATGACAGATCTTTGCCTGTTTTGCTTATCGGTGTCATTGGATGAGAACGAAGATTATTTATCATTGACTAAGATGCTTATGCCATTATCAAAGCCCGTGTAGTTTAGAAATTGTGTTTCTAACATGTTTTAAGGGCTTTGAGGGTACTTAACTGCAAACGTGACCATGAAAATGTCCATTTTAGGGGGGAAAAAACCCCACCAAAACAGACAAACTGTACAGATATTGAGCCTCTCTGCATCGTCAAACAGCCTTTGACCAAAAACTAGAGGAACCATCCGCTTCTCATCTCTTTAGAGTTCTTTGTTTCTAGCCCGCTGTCCTAAAGCTGGAGCTTTATTTTACCGCAGCCGTTGTGGAGCAATATATGATTTTTGCGACATCTTATGTTAATGTGACAATCTTATTGGTCTGTGTGAAGGTGTGAATTCTGGTCATTTTGGGGTCATTTGTAACAGCTGTACGACTCTCTCCCTTGTGAAACGCGTGCAAGATGTTCCTTGTGGATTTTTGCCTAGAAGGTCGAAACGTACAAGCGGCAAATAGTCTCCTTTTTTTGTGATATTACCTAAAAATTTGTTTTAAATTTTTGCTTTTGCAAACCCGTAAGGGATCAAGGTTTGACTTGCAAATTGGAATTGTCGAGAAAATGCCTTATTTTAATTTCAGTGTACCTGAATTGGAGAAAAAGCTTATTAATGTAGTGTTTTTGAATACTTTTGAATAACATCTGGTGTTCTGAAAGTGAAAATAACTTGTCCCTTCAAAGAAAAAAAAAAAAAGATCCAGAGATTTGGGGCTAAATCTGAAACTCATTTCTTGAAATGTATTGTTTGGTTTTTCTTTTTCGGTTTTTTTTAATATCTGTAAAAAAAAATTGTCTTTTGTCGCAGTGAACAAAAGGAGTTAAATATGCAGTAATTTAGTGTTGAAACTCTGCAGGATTACAAGTGGACACACACAAGAGGATTCACTAAGGACTCTAAACTTTTAAAGTTTCCTGCAAAAGGTTAGAAGTGAAACCATGTATATGCTTGCCAACATAGACTGTATATAAAGGACGGACATGGGCAATTTGACACATGCACTGTTTGTGAAGCCTTATTTTCTTAAGCCTCTAGCTCAGTGTTTTTGTTTTGTTATTTTTAACCCAGGTACCACAACATGGGACAGATCTCACTGAAATATAAGATAGGGACTGATTTGGCACCCTATGATTGCTAATTGGGATGATTACCTAAAGTTAAGCCCATAAATTCATCAGGAAAGTGTTTACTGGAGGCAGAAATCAAGGAGGCTGAGGACCATTTTCTAAGTCAAGGGGAGAAAAAAAAAAAAAGTCAAAATTTCAGATTATTGCCTCAAATGTCTTTTGACACTGAAGGTAGGATAACCTCAAATTTTCAGTGGCAGAAAGAAGCTTCTACACTTTTCCAATTGACTTCTGTACAAGCAGACCTTTTTCACAAGCACAAGAGTCGCCCCCTGCAGGCCACTGAAAAGAAAAATGAAAATGCAGGTTTAAGGTGCTTCTGCAGTGAGCCTGAAACTACAGCCTTCTTTTATATACAGTCTATGTATGCTAACCTAGCATGAGGCCTGTCCATAGCAGAAACAGCTAGCCTGGTTATGTCCAAAGGTAAATGCCTACCAGTGCTGCTAAAGCCAAGTTAACGGTCACCTTTCAAAGTAGTTCCCAAAATTCATTAAATAGCATACCCCCCCCCCAATTAAAAGCAAAGGCTTTCTAATAACTTAAACTGAATCTTCAGGTGTGTTTCCACCCTCAGAGGTTTTCACTGTAATGCAGTAAAGATGTCAGAGTGTTTTTCATAACACAGGATTGCACTCTTTATCACCGCTAGACTTCTTCAAAGGGTAATTCCACCAAAATTTACTTCAAGAAAAAAAAAAGAAAAAAAAAGAAATAATTCCCCAAAGTCAGTCCATGTTAATAAATCAAGGGCACCCAAGAAATGAAAAGTCAACTTTGATGGAAACCCCTTGGATGAAGCAGCATCATGTGCCATTGTTATTGTTGCAGTGTCAAACACTGACCTTTAGAAATATGCTTAGTTTGTCAGCGTCTTAGGATAAAGGGATTCTGCATGTTGAGCCATTTTATTTATTTGTAAATGTGTTTTATTTAATTTTCCTGACTGAACTGTGAAACCAGGGGAGCTCATAACTAATTCAACTTCAGATACAAAACATTTGACTGACAGATTGTTTCTGATGCCAAAATCAAGAGGCCTTAATTCAGCAAAACTAGATTGTAGAAAAAGAAAATCCACTTAAAGACTCCTTTGACCTGAAAGTCACGAGTGATTCATATATGAAATGTTAAGAAAACCACTTTTGTACTCATTTTTACAGACTATTTATTAAACTGTGATTTTGTAAGAAATAAACAAATGAATGTGGCTGTGTCTTGTTTCGGGTGGGTGGGGAGTGGATGGAGGGTATAGGTGTGTTCAATAACTCATAAGATTAATAAACATCACTTATTTACTGTATCATTCACAGGAAAACATAAATAAATATAATGCAGCTGCTTCCATAAGGTAAATTTCTTATACTCTAAAGCTTTGCAGAGGGTTAAATCTTGTAATTTATCTTCATCACGTCCAAGTTGGCAGCTTTTCTTTACTGTGCAGTTTGGAATCTGTGAAACGACGTCGCTGTTAAACTGAAACGAGCTCATGTCCCGACACAGTCTCCGGTTAGGTTTAGGGGTTAAGAGGCACGTTCACACGCGCCATGGAGAGGTCCCAGCCGTCCGGAGAATTGGCACCACGACATAAGCAGGAGTTTAAATAAATGACCAAGTGAAAGCCGCCAACTGTACTTACATTTTGTCTCCCCTGCTGCGATAAGTGTACAAAACCACAGACGCAATACATTCAAGCCCAGAAACACCTTGACTAACTCATCTTTGAAAAAAAGGAAATTGAGCAAAGATGGATTTTATCTTCATGGCATTCCCAGGGAAATTCAGTTATCTATTGACCTAAACCAGACAACAGAATGAAAACTTAAACTGGACGGAGAGCCAAATAATTTAAGGTCCTATAAAAACAACCATCTCTCTGCAAAGCAAATCATTCATAATAAGCTGCTGACCCACAGGGGGTAGAGCTGGAGGTCAAGAATAAAGTAGCAGGCAGCAGCCTTTTCTAAAAATCTGTTCAAGATTTATGATTGTTTGGTTTTGTTTTGTTTAAATAAAAAAAGTCCACATGCGAACAACGTGTCCACGACATTGTAAGGTTAGTGTTTTACCTAGATTTCTCTCCACAGGTAGGGTCAGTTACTCTTACTGGAATTTGGCATCAATGTTCTTTGCCCAGTGGGGTCCTGACAGCAGCCACATACTATAACATTTCCATCCCTGCTGCTCAATTAGTGCATTCACGTGCTCACTAAAAAAAAAAAGCAAAAGCAGGTTGGAGAAACTGATGGAGTGGCTGTTGAGTTTCAAAGTAAAAGAGTAAAATCCAGGTTTCCTATCCAGGTGCGAGGTCAGTCGTGCCCTTCTTGGAGATGGAAAGTCAGTTGAGTTTAATGGGCAGGTCCTCTCCGTATTTGCGAAGTAACTTGCTGTGATTGTGATCGATGGACCACAGAGGAGGGAGGTGGCGAGGCTGCATGGTGGTGAGGAAATGCTGCCTCCAGCGACGCTCCAGGACCATCAGTCCCCGCAGGCCTTGCTCAGCGTGCGCTTGCACCACCTTCAGACCGTGAGGCACGTACGCCTCGTTTAAAATCCTTCAGAGGAGAGAGGAGCGGTCAGAGTGAGTGCATACTAGCAAAAATGATCATGATACACTACATGCAGCTGTTTAAACGTACAGTGATGATTAGGACTCAACCAATAATTTGGTTCACTGAGTGGGCTGTTAAATTATGAATGCTTCTTAGCATATTTAAACTGGGGACTAAGTAAAGTTAAATGTGACTGTACACTTATGTTTCACTGTGCCTGTGATTGGCAAGTACACATCTTTGCACAAGTGGTTCACAAAAAGTATAAATAAATTCCTTATTCGTCTTACATCTGTGCATTTTTCTGTTATTTGACCACTTAAAAATCTCTGGGCTTGTTGTCCTGTTGCATGACACCGGTTCAGCCTAGCTTTAGTTAGTTATTTAGTTATTGGACAGATGGCCTCACATCTGACGTTATTTGGTATACAGAGAAGTTCTTGGTTGACTCAGCGACTGTAAAATCCTCAGGTGTTGGGTCTGCAAAACAAGCCCAAATCATCACCCCTCCACGACTGCGCTTCATAGTTTGTACAAGGTATTTGTGTTGATATTGTCCATAATCGATGGACAAACATCTCCCACTTTAGTCTCATCTATTCAAAGCACACTCTTTGTCTTGTAGCTTTTTCAGATGCAACTTTGCAAACCCAAACCATGCGGCCACGTTTTTGTTAGTGAGAAGAGACTTGCTCCCGACTGTCCTTCCAAACAAGCCATACTTGTTCTTTTTTAATTGTCCTGTCACAGCTTTAACATTCAACATGCCAACTCTGTAGAGTCTGAGATGTAGCTCATGGTTTTTTTGCAGTCACTGCTTGGTTACATCAGCAGTGCTCAGATTTACTTAAAACCTAAACGCTAAAGTATTAAAATAATTTAAGGTATCATTAAGACACAACCATAACTGACGTGTGATCACGTATCAGTTTAAACTCACTTAGTCTCCAAATCGGCCGCTTGCTGCAGCGCTTCCTCCGTCGCCCCCTCTTCGTCATTCAAATTCAGGAAACTCTTGATTAAAGCCTGCAGCTCCTCTCGCCGTTGTTTGGGGAGTCCTTCCCCGGCAGTGAGCAGAGCCCGAGCCGCCGAGCGTACTTTCCGTCGATCAGAGTCCTCAAAGATCCGAACTCCCTCCTCGCAGCCCTGAGGGGCAGAAAACTCTTCAGCCAGCTGCTGTTTCAGGAAGCTGTCGTGTACATTGGAGGCAGCGTGGCAGCTGGTGCACAGCAGCAGGATGTCATGGGAGTTGTGGTCCTTCATCTCTGTGGGAAAATGCCGTCTGTACTCATGCGGCACAATATTTTTCCTTAAGGATCAAACAAAGATGCATGTTAATCACGTCTGCAGTGATTTGGTGGCACCACAAAATAAGACATTTATACTTAAACAACACAAATGATCTTCTGAAGTTCAGAACAAACTGCCATTTGTCAAGCAAATTTGTTTGTTTTATTGGTTCTGTGCTTGAGATCAGACAAGCAGAACAAGTTCTAAGTAAACCTTCAATATAAATCAACTTCAAAGCGAATAAGTGTGTCAAACCTGATGTAAGAATCTGCTTTTCCACAGACCACACAGAGATTCTCCTTGGCAGTCAGGTAGTAATCCTGCTGCGAGTCAGGACGTCCCGACGGCTCAAACAGCAGCCTCACAATAAAAGGCTCTTCACTCTCGAGCACTGCATCACAAACAGAACAGCATCGGGTTTTCAGGCTATTCTTTGAACCTCACAGGGATGCAAATGCATGACAGTATTTACAGAGTTTGAGAAGAAAAAGCAACAAAACAAAAAACAAACACATTGTATAGTTCACACTATTAATACTAATACACTTTTTTAAAATGCACAAATCTATACACTTTATACTGGTGGCCACTAGTGCTACTCCAGAGCCTTCCAGTAAACACACGTCGTTGACTTCCTCTTTGAGTTATCACTTTCAAAGAAAAAAAAACAAACAAACAAAAGACCCTTGACCTATGCCCTGGATTGCACGTTTGAAATCAAAGCAGG